GGATCCAATAGATATTATTTACCTTGACTTCCAGAAAGCTTTTGATAAAGTTCCTCATCAAAGGCTCCTAAGTAAGCTCAAAAATCATGGGATAGAAGGACAAGTCCTTTTATGGATCAAAAACTGGCTAGTTCATAGAAAACAGAGAGTGAGTGTAGGTGGGCAATTTTCTCAGTGGAGGGTGGTAAGCAGTGGGGTACCGCAGGGATCAGTACTTGGTCCACTGCTTTTTAACTTGTTCATTAATGATTTGGAGATGGGAGTAAGCAGTGAAGTGGCTAAATTTGCGGATGATACAAAGTTGTTCAGGGTGGTGAAAACCAGTGAGGATTGTGAGGCACTCCAAGGGGATCTGTCAAGGATGGGCGAGTGGGCGTCAACATGGCAAATGGGGTTCAATGTGGCCAAGTGCAAGGTGATGCACATTGGAGCCAAAAATCCTAAATATAAATACACATTGATGGGGTCTGAACTGGCAGAGACTGAGCAAGAGAGAGATCTTGGAGTTGTAGTGGATAACTCACTGAAAATGTCGAGACAGTGTGTGACTGCAATAAAGAAGGCCAATGCTATGCTGGGGATTATTAGGAAGGGTATTGAAAACAGATCAGCCAATATAATAATGCCCCTATATAAATCAATGGTGAGACCTCATTTGGAATACTGTGTGCAGTTCTGGGCACCACACCTTAAAAAGGATATTATAGCTTTGGAAAAAGTGCAGAAAAGGGCAACTCGAATGATAAAAGGGTTGGAACACTTTCCCTATGAGGAAAGGTTAAAGCGCTTAGGGCTCTTTAGCTTGGAGAAAAGACGACTGAGGGGTGACATGATCGAGGTTTATAAGATTATGCATGGGAAAGAGCAGGTAAAGAAAGAGGTACTTTTCTCCCTTTCTCACAATACAAGAACTCGTGGGCACTCCATGAAACTGCAGAGCGGTCGGGTTAGAACGGATAAAAGGAAGTACTTCTTCACCCAAAGAGTGATTAACACATGGAATTCACTGCCACAGGAAGTGGTGGGTGCTACAAGCATGGACGGCTTCAAAAGGGAATTAGATAAGCATATGGAGCAGAGGTCCATCAGTGGCTATTAGCCACAAGGTATAGCTAGGGGCTCTGGGGCAAGTGATGCTCTGTCTTCTTGGTGCTTGGGGGGGGGGTCAACAGTGGGAGGGCTTCTAATGTCCTGGCCCCACTGCTGGACCTCCTGATGGCACTGGTATTTCTGGCCACTGTGTGACACAGAGTGTTGGACTGGATGGGCCTTTGGCCTGATCCAACATTGGCGTCTCTTATGTTCTTATGTTCTTAAATGTAGGAGCAGGACCAGGGTACTTTAATCCATCAGGGATACTTGAGCCACCGCAGCTCCCGAGGCGCCTATCACCTCACCCAAAAGCCTGGTGGAAGAGCTTCGTCTTACAGGCCCTGTGGAATTGTAGTAAATCCCGCAGGGACCTGATCTCACTTGAGAGCTCATTCCACTAGGCAGTGGCCAGGGCTGAAAAGCCCTGGTTGAGGCAAGACAGATGTCCCTGGGGCCGGGGACTACCGAGGTATGCTGGCTCCTGGACGTATAGGGCTTTAAAGGTGTCGGTACTTACCTTCAAAGCCCTATACGGCCAGGGGCCAGCATACCTTCGAGAAGACCTCCTCTCCCCATATGAGCCCCGCAGAGCACTAAGGTCCACCAGTCAACATCTTTTGGTGGTCCCCGGCCCCATGGACGTCCGACTTGCCTCGACCAGGGCCAGGGCTTTTTCGACCCTTGCCCCTGCCTGGTGGAATAAGCTCCCGAGTGAGATCAGGGCCCTGCGGGATTTATTACAATTCCGCAGGGCCTGCAAGACGGAGCTCTTCCACTGGGCTTTTGGTTGAGGCGGTAGGCCTCTTTGCGACCGACCCCACCAGCGGCCTGGATCCTAACATCTTAAATCTTCCACTACTGTTGATATGGTTCCATCAGAGCCGACATGGTACTTACGAGTATGGCATTTTATATTGTTGTTTTAATTTGGTTTTGTGTTGTATTTTACATTATCGTTACCCACCCTGAGCTCCTCGTGGGTCATATCCACAGCATCCAACTGCTTGCTTCCAAAAGGGAAACAAGCCATTAAGATTCCCCCACTGTTCCATTGTCGGGCCCATGGTTATGGTGCGGCTTTTGGAGGCTCTGCCCCCTTTCTTAAAGGCACAGCCCCCAAAAAATTCTCCTGTAAATGCTTTGTTCAGTCATTTTAAAACATTTTTTAAAAAGGCGTGCACTCCTTTAAGCTGAGTGGGGTGCTGTAGTTGACTAATTCCCGCACTGAGCAAGGGGGTTGGAGTAGGTGACCTCTAGGATCCCTTCTGACTCTGTGTCAAGAAACTGGTCTCCTTTAAGAGAGCTTTTCTGCCTGTTAGCTTTCTTGACTACAGAAGTCATCACCCGCACCTGCCGGCTTGTTCTCAGAACTGTTGCTTAGGCTGGCAGAAGTGATTAACTTGCAGCAGCTGAGAACTTTCTATTGTCACACTCTGGGGCTAAGATTTGCAAAAGCCTCTACGCTTTGATTTTAAAAGGCTCGATTCCACAGTAGCTGAGTCATAATCCTTAGAATTCTGGCTTTTCTTCCTGCACGGAGGACTTCAGCCCCACTAGAAAAAGATCAGCCCCACAAAGCCCCAAAATTCCTGGCTATGGGCCTGTCCATTGTTTGCATCCAGAATTTTGTTTCGAGCAATGCCCTTGGCATAGGGTTACCAAGTACCTACCGCGAATCAGCGGGGGACACATAGTTGTTGGCGGGATCATTCCCACACGGAAAACACATGCGCTGCACTATGCCGTTGCCCAGACGTGATGTAGGCACGTAGCCGGGCGACGCTCTGGCAATGGGGGTGAAAACTCGATGGTACCGTTGCGTTTGCAGCCCCAGTGCCAGAGCGTCGCCCGGCTACGTGCCCAGCGTGCTGACATCACGTCTGGGCGACAGCATAGTGCAATGCGGGTGCGTTACAGGCATGAATGTTCTGGCGGGAAAGCATGTGTCCCCCGCCCATTCACGGTAGGTACTTGGTAACCCTACCTTGGTGTGGCTGACAATGCATCACAGATCCCTTGATTCTTTCTCCCCCCAACCCCCCCCCCCCAACAGCATTCACGTTCCATAGAGAAAGTGTCGCAAAGGAGAAACTTGGATGCAAATATGTACACAGCTGGGTTGACATTCCTTCCCAGGAAGACTGCTTTCCAGTGGTCTGCACGGATAAACACACCACACAGAAGCAAGCTCAATGTGGTTGTATGTCAGGTTGTATTGAGTGGACACATGGTCATCGTGCGGCTGGCGAGGCAGATGACTCAAGAACAGAACCTGCATAGCCAGATTTGACTCCAGCAGCACCTTAGAAACCTACAGGATTTCCAGGGTGTAAGATTTTGAGAGTCCATGGTCCCTGAGCTTTGACTTTCGAAATCTTATACCCTGGAAATCTTGTTGGTCTCTAACATGTTAAAAAGGTAAAGGTTTCCCTTGCTCGAAAGCCAGTCGAATCCGACTCTAGGGTTTCTTGCTTTCGAACTGCTAGGTTGGCAGGAGCTGGAACTAGAGACGGGAGCTCACTCCATCATGCGGCACCCGGGTCTCGAACTGCTGAACTACCGACCTTCCACAGCCTGCAGTTTCAGCGTCTTCGCCACTTGAGCCACCGCAGCTCCTCTCTAACATGTTACTGGGCTTGACTCTAACTGTTCTGGGCAGACCAACATGGCTACCCTCTAGAATTAATTTGAGAAATTCTTCTAATGGGTGATTCTGCATCGGCCTTTCCCTCCGTTGTTATACCAAACCCACCTTGGAACAGAAATTCCCCCACTGCATTGTGCGCCGCTGTCGCTTTCTTTGATCACTGGGTTTTATGGTACCCTCTACCAATGCTCCCTCTAAACTGTGGAGTCTTGTGAGCAAAAATTCTACTTTGTGAGCTGCTGGCATTAAAGTTGTGAGCCAGCCATTTGGCTACTGCATAAATTAGTTTGCTCAGGAGCCATACTTCCTGAGCTAAGACAAAAACGGGTGAGCCCGGAGGCTAAAAAACTGTGAGCTGGCTCACACTAACTCCGCTTACAGGGAACACTACACTGCATGCCGCTTTCACTTGCTTTGCTCATCGGATTTTATGGTACCCTCTACACGGCATGCCGCTTTCACTTTCTTTGATCATCGGATTTTATGGTACCCTCTACACTGCATGCCGCTTCAACTTTCTTTGATCATCAGATTTTATGGTACCCTCTACACTGCATGCCGCTTTCACTTTCTTTGAGCATCAGATTTTATGGTACCCTCTACACTGCATGCCACTTCCGCTTTCTTTGAGCATCGGATTTTATGGTACCCTCTACACTGCATGCCACTTTCACTTTCTTTGAGCATCGGATTTTATGGTACCCTCTACACTGCATGCCGCTTTCACTTTCTTTGACCATCAGATTTTATGGTGCCCTTCACACTGCATGCCGCTTCCGCTTTCTTTGAGCATCGGATTTTATGGTACCCTCCACACTGCATGCCGCTTCCGCTTTCTTTGAGCATCGGATTTTATGGTACCCTCCACACTGCATGCCGCTTTCGCTTCCTTTGATCATTGGGTTTTATGGTACCTTCTGCATAGATTTATGGCCCTTCAGGGGTGACTTTGCAGTGAGTACGGCGCTGCCCTGGGGTATCTGAATGTGGTTTTGAGCTGCGCCATTTCTGTCCCGAGGTGGGTTTGGTATAACAACAGAGGGAAAAGCCAGTGCAGAATCAGCCTAATGATACAATAATTAAAGGTATGCTGCATAAATGAGAATTCTGGAATGATGGGAAATTGAGTCATCCCGAAATAGCAACCACTGCTTAATACCCAGGCATTATTTTGGGAAATTTATAACCCACTGTTCGTTTTTTAAAAAAACATCAAAGCAAATAATCTCCCAGCAGCAGTATAAAACAGAGTTTAACTTACTGTCTGTCATGATTCCTCCCAGAACCCTCTTCTCTACGATCTCTTCTACTTTGTCCATCAACCACGGTAAGTATTCGGTTTCGATATCTGCGCGATGCAAAAAAATGGAACGTGAATGGGATTATTTCAACCAACATTCCTGACAGTGCTAAACAGCAACAGGGCGCTTGGTGAAACAAATGTCCTCCAGATCTGGAGAGCATTGTCAGCCCTCAGAGAACTGGCACTTACACGCTGCAAGGATGATGCTTCGAAACCAGTTGTCAAGGATAAATGCAGAATATAATGGGCCCGATCCTGTGGACCTGGTTACAAGGAGCCATCCCCTGACGCAAGAGGCTCTTTCATCAGGAGAAGGCTCTTTGCACTAAAGGCCAGCACCCTGGAACAGAGCAACGGGGTCTGACCCAACTATTCAAAGTTCATTTAAACACATGATGATGTGAATGCTCCCTCTGAGCCGTGGAGTCCTGTGAGCAAAAATCCAACTTTGTGAGTTACTGGCATTCAAGTAGTGAGCGAGTGATTTGGCTACTGCAGAAATCAGTTTGCTCTGGAGCCATCCTTCCTGAACTGAGAAAAAAAATGCATGAGCCGGAGGCTAAAAAACTGTGAGCTAGCTCACACTGACTCAGCTGAGAGGGAACACTAGACTATATCTGACCCTCTCCCCCTGGGTCTGTGTCCGGTTTTAGAGAAACCAAAGCGTGGCTTTCTTTCACAGCTGTTGAGGCTGAACCTGGGACCTTACATAAGAACATAAGAATGTTGGATCAGGCCAAAGGCCCATCCAGTCCAACACTCTGTGTCACACAGTGGCCAAAAATACCAGGTGCCATCAGGAGGTCCATCAGTGGGGCCAGGACATTAGAAGCCCTCCCACTGTTGACCCCCCCTCCCAAGCACCAAGAAGACAGAGCATCAGTTGCCCCAGAGTCCCTATCTATACCTTGTGGCTAATAGCCACTGATGGACCTCTGAAGCCGTCCATGCTTGAAGCTGCCACCACTTCCTGTGGCAGTGAATTTCATGTGTTAATCACTCTTTGGGTGAAGAAGTACTTCCTTTTATCCATTCTAACCCAACCGCTCAGCAATTTCATTGAGTGCCCACAAGTTCTTGTATTGTGAGAAAGGGAGAAAAGGACTTTTCTCTAACCCATGCATAATCTTATAAACCTCGATCGTATCACTCCTCAGCCGTCGTTTCTCCAACCTAAAGAGCCCTAAGCGCTTTAAC